TTTGATTAATCGATTATTTTCGATTTTTCAAAGATTATCGAATAATCTGTTTCCATGGACGAAAAAAAATGGTTTATTTGAAAATAATCGATTATTTAAAATAAACGATAATTCTATTTATATTATATTTTGTAAAACACTGATTTATCGGTTAATTGGCTTTTTAATTAATCGATTATTTTTGATTTTTCAAAGATAATCAAGTAGTCGATTTTAAAGGAAATGACAAAAAATATATTGTTTGAAAATAATCTATTGATCGAAAATAATCGATTATTTTCAATTATCGATAATTTATTTCGATAATCACTCATCCCTAGCGACCAAATGACTTTTAATAGATTTAAATTTTAAAATGTTATCTGGTTTCAGACATATGCATTTCTAGAGTTTTATGTGACTCATCCTTTATAATAAATAATATTCTTAAAGAAAGAAGCCTTAATATACTTTTTCTGAGGTTACAATACAAAACAGCATTTTCTCATTTTGACTGATTTTTAATAATATGTAATAGCCGTACAAAAAATATAATGTTCAACTCATAAGGGTAGATTTGCAGTATTAGCCTGCGCACATGCTATTTTTATAATAATCGTAGACAATGAGTAACATTTGTTGCTCTATTAACAATATACTATTTCAACATTTTACTGTAATCTCTTGCAGAAAAGTCCGTAGTAAATAAACGCTAACGAAATATTCTATAAAAGGTCTTCTCTTTACATAAAATGTCGTGGCATCTGTTTGATATTAAAAAATCACGTTAATTTTATTTCATAATACAAAATTCGATTAAACACCTTTTAAATAAACCTAATAGTTCATTAAGATGCTAATAAACAAAGTCCGGTCCCTGTCACAGAGTTCGGGTCGCCGCGTGTCGCCGCCCAGTTCCCCCACTCCGTTAACCCTTCTTTAGAAATTGGCAACATTTGCGCAGGTTTAAAACCGGTGTATGTTATATCTCTGGTCTCTTTTATCTAAGCTTAAAATGTAGAACTGAAATATGTTGATTGAGATTTTTATGGTTTAATATAAACCTTTGCTTACCATTGGGTATAAATTGGCTTTTATTAATACAATACAATATCCTTATTTACCTGAGAAAATATTACATTTTGTGGCTGGTCAAATTACAATTAAAATTAGGGTGATTTTTTTTCGAATAATTTGTTTTTTCGCTCTCGTCCTGAAATTTTGTTGAAAATGTCCCAAAAAAATCCCTGAAAGTTTGTGCCCTTAATATTAATATTAAGTCCTCGACCAAGGCGTGCAAAGATTTTCCATTTAAAATACACGTAAAATTAGGGTTTTTTTCTTCAGATTTCTATAGCTTAGAGGCATTTCATGGTATTATTTCGACCATAGGCATGTATTTCTCCAAATTGAACGTTCTACAAAAGTGTCTATTGCGGCGATGTCGTAACTCACATCGGCGAGGTAGTACGGGTCACTAAATCGAATTTTATCATTAAATTCACGTTATTTCGACCCTATGTCATAACTGAGAAGAGTTACAGAAAAAATGTAAATGACAAAGTTGTAGAATATTTAATTTACTACAAAAAATGTCCTGAGAACCAAATCGCTAGGATTAATATTTGTCGAGATTCGAGATATTAAGCCTTGAATTAATTTCACTGTAAAATTTTTGCTGGTTATTGACTGACATTGTTGTGTGAATAATAATTTCTAATACAAGTTAGGTTGTTTTTTATTTCAGAGGTTTCTTGAGTTTCTACTAACTGTCTCCTATGATCCGATACACCCATTTCAATTACAGATACAATTATAATATTAAAATTTATAAAAAAATTATCTAAACATTTATTGTATCTAGTATTTTGGTGAACTGCTTGATGCAGATTGTAGCATAAAAAAAAGATTTTTAATATTAGAGGTTGGGGTGGGTGGCTCAGTGGTAGAGCCTATGCCTGTGGATCCAAGGGTCCCGGGTTCGAATCTCACCGTTGGCCGGAATTTTTTCATTTAATTTAATTTTTTTTTTGTGTGTGTGTCATCGGCTTCAACTGCTAAGGTTATTTCGCCTCGTGTTCTGTGTAGGCTTTGTTACTGTTTCCCAGCACCACTTTAGGAACAGCACTGTTAATTAGAACCCAACAGTGAATGGTCGAGTCCAAAACATTTCATGAACACCAAAAAAAAAAAATAAATAAAAATGTTTTTATTGAGAGTAAAGCGAGTCGAGCAACTCCACCTATGTTTTTTACGTGCCATTCATGTCTAAAACATTTCATACATACCAAACAAATTAAATAAAAATATTTTTATTAAGATTTTTGTTTTACCTGAATCACTTTCCGACTCCATCCTAGCTATTTTGTCATATAATTTTGAAATTTTCGGTTTGTATTTTTCCATTTTGCCATCGTTTTTCCGTTTTATGCCTTCCATATCCATTTTATATTAGGTCACTCTAAAAACGCGAACGCAAAAACATCCGTTCTATATTGGCATAAATTTGTGTATGGCCAATAAAAGGTATAGTTATCGGGTGATTTAAAGAAAAAACTGTTTCTAGTTATATGTTGCTAAAATAGCTATATAGACACTAAATACTTCCTGTAAATAACCTCATCTTATCCTACTTTTATAAATTTTCCTAGAAATAAACAATAGGTGTGGATCAAATGTAAATATATATTTTATTCTTTAGCTTGACTTTGATGAATAAAGACCTATTAAAAGTAGTTCTTAATTTTTTTTTTTAAATAATTTACTATAAAGGAAATTAAAACTTTCTGAAATATGTAAAGAAATAGTGTTTATGTCGTCTCTACTTCATTCTATCTCGATGATTCAGATACATATCGAACATCCCTCGTATTCTATTTATTTTTATACCGATTATAAACAACATTGTTTTATTATTAAATTTATTCCACTTCAAAATACTGGTTAAAGACGTCAAAAGTTTTTCAACCGTCTACATTTAATCAGATATATACTTGCAAATTTTAATTATTGTTTAAGTGGTTTATTATTCTAATATTATTTACGAAATTTTTTATAATATAGTGAATCATTTCAGGTCATAGCCTACGCTGATTAATAATTAAACTTACGCAAATAAAAACATTCTTCATGTCTGATGCCATCCCATTACAAAAAAAAAAAAAAAAAAAAAAAAAAAAAAACATTCTTTTATATTTGAAGGTTGTAAATAGATTTTAACATCCTTATTGACATCAATCATAAATATCATTAAAATTCTTTTTTTTGCCTTAAAAAACTAGGTGTGTTATGAAATAAATGTTTATTGTTTATTTTGACAGGTGTTTTTATTTAGTGTTCCAAAAAATATAATACGATTTAATATTTTTATGACTTTATTAATTGCAAGCTAACATCAGATTGAAAGTAAAATAAAAAATGTTAAACACTTGTACAGAGAAAACAAGTAACTTGAATGGCCGGCTGAAGGAAATCTCGGAACTTCTCGACAGGTCAGCGGTTTCTATTATGTAATTTCCGTCACCATTGATAAAGAAACTTAATGCGTCTATGAGGGTACGAGTGAAATAGATCTGCGAGTGGAAATGAGTTGGCGCTTATATTTATTTACTTCAAATTTTCCATAAAATGAGAAAAATATATTTCGCTCGTAACGGAATGTTCTTCTTAATACTTTGAAATACGTTAAACTGCATTCCTGCATTTCCCAGGGTTGGCTTTGATTTTAATATATTATGTAATTGAAACATGATTTTCATTCATTATTTTCGGTAGATTTTTAAATTAGGTAAGATACTCATTGAAAAGGTACTGAAATATATTGTTGTTCTTGTGTTTACTATACAATATTTATACGGGGTGAATCATAAAGAGAGTAACTGGAGTAAAACATATTTGTAATATTTTAACAACTATAGTCTATCGAGATCTACTAAAATTAAGAATAAAAGTTGGTCTGGTAGACCAAAAATTATAACATGTTTCAATAAACATTTGCGGCGCTGATGGTCATTCATTTTTGCCATTTTAGAAACATTATTTATGACTTACTCTATAAATAGATCAATTGATTGAGGTGTAGAAATGGTTTAAAAATACTCAATTTTTAAAGAAAATTTAAATTTTAATGTCCATCTGTATAATACACAAATCTGTCATTTAAAGGTTGTGCGGGTCGGTAATTTTTGATTACAGCTGCGTTCTTATCATCGTGAATGCCTGCTAAATGATGCAGCTGCAACAAAAATATGTATTTTTTATTTGTATATACGGGCAATTCTCATTTAGATTATAATTGATTGTTAAATTATATTAGTAGAATAGAATATTATTTTATTTACAACCATATATGTAATGTCATTACTAACGTCATTGAAGGTTGGGAAGTGTCACATCACACACCTCTACTTCCCGCCCTCATTTCATCTATTCTAGATGAATATTTTTTATATTAAAAAAAAATAACACATTTTTTTGACAAATTATATAATATCTATTTAATGGCAAACAATAAAAAACAACAGTGAACTAAAATACAACAAACTACTTATTAATATTTATTATTCGCGAACTTAATATCCGGCTTTATCTGACATTTATTTATATTGGTGACAGTTGTTTACCCCGTAATCACAGTAACAATATATTTACTTGATTATTCTGAGAAAACCGCGCGCTTGGTAATTAGTCGTTAAATGTAATATTTTAGGTATGTTCAGAAAGAAACGGAGATTTATTAACTTTGATCGAAATATGATGGTTGTAACTAAAATAGTATACAAACCTCGGTAGGAAGTTTTATTACTGTCTCGTGATCATAGCTAACCTCGACGCTTCGCGTCTCGGTGATCTAACTAATCTCACGACAGGAATGAAACTCTTCCCACCTCGGTGTGTAATATACTATTTATATTATTTGCAGGTGCTAAAAATGTAGAAAATCTTGAAAATATTAAAAATAAAATGTCCCTGCTGTCATTCAATAGAACACAAACTACGTCATCTCTAATGTAACGTATTTTTCAATGTTGTTTTCCTATAATAATAAAAAATTCAACATTTACCTGCTCAATTGATATGTGGGATGTATCCTCCACAACAATCCACTGTACTACTTCGTTACAATCTGGAGTCGTCAGTGAACCTCTATACGTAAAATACCTCGACATATCGTGTGGCAAAAGGCTTTGTGGCATCAAAGGCTTACTCATTGGTAAACTGTGATGACTTAAAGTAATATTATTCATATTGTCGGAAATGTCTTTAAATTCTAGGGCATCTGTGTTGGCGTACTGAAAAATATCAAAGATTGTATTGGTATTAGCATTGTATTTAGATAGCCTATCTAAAAACAATCTTAATGCATATTATCTTGGAGGGCAATAATAGACAGTAGCAATAGATGGCAACGAGCTCCATCGGGTTCAAGTCGTGTGTTTGATCATTTTGTCGTCTTCTACCGAACCATCGAATGGTTGTAGAAACTAAATAACGACGTAGTTTCTCTATTTACTAATAGATGGACCAATAGTCGATTAGGTATGAACAGAATATTTTTAAAAATGAAATATACTGTGGTGGAAGCTAGTGGTAGTAATAAAATACTGAGTGAAAAAGAAACGATTATAATGATTAACTAACTATTTGAAATTACAAATAGGCGTTCCAACGACCTGTCAAAATGCTGCCAGTGAGAACTGATGGTTTGTGGACCTGTTGCACATACTTTGATTTTCTTTACTATACGGGGCAAGAGAGAGGTCCGACACGACAAACATAGGGCGCGGCCATTTTGATTCATATGCCACAGTTTATAGCTAAAGAATCAGATCGCTCACTCTGCGTCGGCACTTTTGATCTCAATGTTCCAGTTTATACACTGCGCAACTCGAATAATACAATATATGACAACCGCCTATAATAAAACAGGAGTCTTCTGCGTATCCTGAATTTGTATCCCTGGAGTGGATGTTATTTTGGAACTTTCAACTGGTCCGAGTGAGCTAACTGATTCTCATATGTTTTAAAATCAAAACAAAAATGTATGACGGTTTGCCTACTTTCGTAGAAAACTATATGTCTTGACGTCTCGCTTCGTGGCGATAGTTACAGTCGACTCCTGGAAATTATTTGGATTATTTGGAGTGCCAATCGATAGGATTGAAGCGACCGGTAGAATTCTATATGACACGGAGTCCCTGTGCAGGTGCGTTTTAATCATTCGCTTCTGCTTCCGGAATTGTCGGTTTAGTCGTTTTAACCTGTCAGATTAAAACAAGAAAACCGACAATTCCGAAGCAGAAGCGGATGATTAAAACGCACCTATTAAAAATATTGCGCCAAGATGTAGGCAACACGTAATAAGGGATCAAAATGGCGGAGTTTTCTATCTCCTTTTAAAAGGCACTTAAAAACCTGCGCAGTGCGACCATTCTCCATATAGTAAAAGAAAATCAAAGTATGTGACCTGTTGTCATTGATAGGATCAATGATACATATAGCGTAGCATATAGATTTCTCAAAGTGATTCGTTTGCGAGCGACCATATTATCGAAGATATTGTTTGGCAAGTGTTCAGTAATTTGAATCAATTTAGCAAAAATGTGTTTTAAAACAAAATTCCAGCCCTTAAATATTTAAAAAAATAATAATTGCCTACATTTTTACTTCAAGCCATAAGCTTATGTTCATTTTTAAAAACATGGATGATCAGTCTATATAACTATCTATATCATTGATCCTATCAAACCACGCCCACAGTTTTGCCATATTATAAATTATAATCTATCATGTGCCTATAAGTGGCCTGTCATTTCAAACGGGTAGCCATATTGTAATAACCAGGTCGATTGAAATAATTAGTAAAAGGATGCTTTTAGAAATTGAACGATTAACTTTATTTTTCTTTTAACAGACTCAAAAATAAAGAATGAAGTATGAAGTGCGGCTTTGACTGCCACCTGACATTGACATCTCGAAAATGCCAACCTTCATCTTGACTTAAGGCATAGTCAATTTCTCGCGATATCACACATATTGATTGGAATGTTTAATAATTACCACATACTTTGATTACTATACGGTGCAAGAGAGATGTTCGACATGCGCAACATAGGGCGCGGCTATTTTGATGCCTTTACCACAGTTTATAGCTAAAGAATCAGTTCGCTCACTCTGTCGACTTTTGATCTCAAAGTTCCAGTTTATACGCTACGCAACTCGGATAATACAAGGATATTACAATATATGACAACCGCCTATAATAATAAAACAGCAGTTTTTGCGCATCCTGAATTTGTATCCCTGGAGTGGATGGTATTTTGGAACTTTCAACTGGTCCGAGTGAGCTAACTGATTCTTTAGCAATAAACTGTGACTTCACAAATAATATTTACTGACACGGACAGCAGCAAGCAAAATATTAAAAATATTGCGCCAAGATGTAGGCAACACGCATTAAGGCATCAAAATGGCGGAGTTTTCTATCTCCTTTTAAAAGGCACTCAGAAAGCTGCGCAGTGCGACCATTCTCCGAATAGTAAGAGAAAATCAAAGTATGTGATAATTACGCTCAATACTAATGACAAACTACCAAATGTCAGGCTAACAGTGTTACCAACTGTTAAAACTAAAAAGTATCTAAAAACGTTGCAGTACCAACATAAATATATAATTTTGATTGTTACAACAACATATACAAGTTTTAGTTTTGATATACAATTATTTATGAATTATCATCATTTTACAATTCTATATTCAATTATTGAGGGAGCGCTAACACACGGGCCATTTGAATGAAGTTTTGTACTTGTTCAAACAGATGTCGTGATAGTATTACACCTCCAATGAAATGTCATTTATATTTGAAAATTGTGATTGGTTGATTTTATATCCGTACAATATCCTTATTAGACTGGATATAAAATTATATCCTTTCTGTAGAACACATGCAATAGACTACTTTTTCTTTCTGTAGTCTGTGAGTAGAGTAGATATCTGTGGATACAAAAAAAAAATTACCTCAAAAAAGACTGCTACCACTACGACACCGTCATATACAGACAAAGCATTTTTAAGGCTAGTGGCACTTTTTAAATAGTGAACAAAATGTGCCTCACAAGGATACCTAAAAAAAAATACGTATCAATTTTTTTTGGACTCTTTTTTTATTTAGAATATATTTATGTAATGTAAGATGATGTTTTACCTGTGAAAGTTGACGGTATGTTCAGATCTCCAATGGAAGTGTATGTTGTCTAAAAAGTATTCATCGCCCAAAGGTCCTCCTCGTATACCTATTGGAAAATGATTGGTATCTCTAAAGGAAATACTAACTAAAACAAAAAATATTTTTTTTAATCTCTATGTTAGCCAATAAGCGATAAAACAAGAGCCAGTGAAAGCTACGCATTAGAACGAGCGAAAAAGGAATAGTGTTAACGTGGGCATTTATAGGAACCAACCGCGTTGAAAAGTTGGCCAGGCCGTATAAGCTGGAATCGTTGGTATTACTCCTTTCCTGCTTGCCCTAGTGCTGGCTAGGTAGTTTTCACACGCACTTGTGCCAAGGGATATTGGAAGATGTTTGATGGCCAATACTGCATGATACCATGAAGAAAACACGTCCAATAAGGGCAGAAATTAAATATTTAGGCAATTGTTTGATTTACGATTACGCAGCTTGCGGCATTGAACGTTTTTCGTTGAACTCTACAAAATATATGACTAAAAACAACTACTTCCAGAAATACATTCCTCACGTATTGGCGATCAAATAATGTATAAATTGTATTTAACTTTTAATTACTTTTGAAATAGTAATATTATTTTCTACGCTATAACTTGTTTAAAAATGCATAATACAAAATACTTTCCTGCACTAGTGCGGAAAATTAAACGGAAGAAATCACTTTTCCGCACTAAATGCGAGAAAGTTCATCTTTTTAAATCCAATTGGGTGTGGATTTTTAAAACACTTGTACAAAAAATATTTTTGTTACCTGTATATCCATGATTATTAGTAATGGTGAACAAATGCTTTGTATCATAGCTCAAAAATAACAATGGCGGCACCTTCAGTTTTTTCACATTCCACGTGTCTATGTTAATCGGTGATTGATGTCTGCCTATTTGACACAGCTTTGGATAGTGAACTGCGAATTTTAGTTAGTCAGAACATTGATAGATTGAGCCTGGCCCTCGAATTTCGACGTGTTTGACCACCTATTTTACCATGTTTGACAACTTAGTAACTTTTTTTGAGTACCCTTAGAAACAAAAATATTTAAAAAAGAAATTAAAAAAAATTTCATGGGTCAAATTATAAAAAACAAGAATTCTGAGAAGAATTTCAACTTTTAGAAACTAGAACCATCGAAAAGAGAACAAAATTTTATATAGATATATAATAATAATGAAAATAAGTGAAAAGTGTAAATAAACGGTACTACCGGTACTCCCTTGTAATAGGAATTAATTGTTTAACCACAAAAGTTAAACAATAAAAATAACTTAAACAAAAGAAACAACTTAAACGGTAATAACTGCACTCCCTGTATAATAGAAAATGAATTTTCAACTAATTAATTGTTTTTTCACGAAATTTAAACAATAAAAATAAAATATTGCAAAAGAAACAAATTAAACGGCAATAACGGCACTCCCTGTATAATAGAAGATCAATTTGCAACTAATTATTTCTTTTAATCACAATAGTTAAACAATAAAAATATAAATAAACTATCCTAGTACTTTGTTCAGGGAATAGAACGTTGAATTATACAATATAGAGAAAAAATTTGGAAAATTGCCCATTATGTTTAAACGCAGAACATAAAAATTTAAATTAGAGAAAAATACAACTCTCGAAAAAAAAAAATTGAGAGAAAACCACCTCTAGAGGAAAAAGGGTCGAGGTAAAACTACCTTTCGAGTAAAAACGAGTCGAGAGAAAACTACCTTTTGAGGAAAGAAGACTCGAGAGAAGACTAACTCTTGAAGAAAAAAGAGTCGAAAAATATCACCTCTTGAGGGAAAACTACTGTTTTGTGTGTGAATGTAATGTCAGACAAATTAAAATAGCGTGAAACATGGACTGTTATTCTTGTGTTACTGTTACAAAAACTGACGCAATGTCTTTCTTTCTCTTTCGCGCACATGCGCGCGGGGTCATCGTGGCACCAAAACAGGGTTGCCACATTTATCTTAAATAACAATATCTAGGTACAAAATAAAACTGAACAACTACTTCTCAAGGAAAAAAACACTCGAGAGAAAGAGACCTCTTGAGAAAATAAAGACTCGAGAGAAACCCAACTCTCTAGGAAAAATAGACTCGAGAGAAAACTAACTCTCCAGGAAAGAATTTGGAAAAATACTCCATTATACAGGGTGTCCCAATAGTGTGTGGAAGTTCGATATATCCTATATTATAGAAAATATCAAACAATGTTATTTACAAAAGTTGTAGATACAATTAATCTGTACATTTCAAAATTATTTTCGATTATACAGAGTGATCCATAACTTCAGAATTGATCAAACCTGTTTTTTTAAATGGACCACCCTGTATTTAATTGTAAATTTGAATTCCCCTGACTTTGCCATTTAATACAATACCAACATGTATGAAGTTATACTGGGTATTTTGGAAGTTTAAATCAATTTTATATGAAAATCGTACTAGGTTCAACCCTCTGTATATTTCAAAAAAAAACAATCGTACATCAAAATTTTTTGATGAATCATTTTTAATGATAGTCTACTTTTATAAGAATATACTTATTTTTTTCCTAGCGCAACAGACGTGTACGTCAAAACTCAGATACATGATTTTCTCAATTTTTTTAAATGTAACACCCTGTATTTCATATCACTACTAAAAAGTACTCTAATTATACGTTTTCGTTTGAGTTAAATATTGCCTATCCCTAAACACAACAGTTTAGTGAGATTCTTAGATGAAATGTTAAAAAGGGTTAATTATAACTAAATTCACAATGTAATTTGATTTAAACTCCTGTTAAAATATATATTTCAAATATATATTTCAAATATATATTTCAAATATATATTTCAAATATATATTTCATCAGTTTATATTTTTAATTATAAAAGCTGCTCAAAGTGACTCCCTCTAACTGCAATACAATGTTGTAATCTAGCTTCAAATGATCTTTGAACGTTTTTCAAACATTGTACATCTATGCTCGCGAACACTTGTCTTATTCTTTCCTTCATTTCCTCGCTAGTTAATGGACTAGTTTTATAAACCTCGTTTTTTACGAAACCCCACAAAAATCTACTTTCGTGAGGTCAGGAGACCTGGGAGGCCACATAACTGGACCATCTCTTCCAATCCACCTGTTTTCAAAATTATAGTTCAGAAAGTTGCAAACTGGTTGAGCATGATGTACAGGAACTCCATCATGTAATATCCACATTCGGCGTCTTATATTTAGTGGAAAATTTTCCAATAGTAGTGATAGATAATTCTGCAGAAAGTCTAACAATAAGTAGACCTCGGCAGTTACACGACCATGAAAGAAATGTGGTCCTATGACATAGTCCCCTAATAGACCACCCCAAACGTTAATAGACCATCGTGTTTGGCTATGTGTCATTAACTCATAAGGATTGGTGGTGGAATAGTAATGAAAATTGTGTCTATTGACGAAACCGTTTTTGTGAAATGTTGATTCATCCCCAAAAAGTACACAATCAAAAAAATCATTTTCATTATTAATGCTCTCTATTGCCCATTCACAAAAAGCTATTCTTTTTTGAAAATCGTTTTCAAGAAGCTCCTGATGACGTTGAATATGGAATGCATGTACTTTATTTTTTAATAGAATCCCATTGACGGATGATTTACTTATTCCCGTTTGGATTTTCGGTAACACTAAGTAGAATACTGAGTTCATTTAAAGTTCATTTTTCTCTATCACTTTTTTGATATGCTACATTACCTGTACGTTTGAATCTTTACAACAGATTTTCAAAAATTTCTTTAATAGGTTGTCGGCAATCAGGATATAATTGCTTTTAACATGAATTCCAAAGTAAACTTGACCTAATGCTCAAAAAAAATTTGAAGTTCTGTTAGCGTTTTCATTGCATTTTATATAAAAAGTTGTAAAGGTCCCAAAAAATAAATTCAATTGATAAAAAATTATACCAGGTACCTTAAAAATATAAATTGATTACATTTAAAAAAATTGAGAAAATCATGTATCTGAGTTTTGACTCACCCTGTACACGTCTGTTGCGGTAGGAAAAAATTAGTATATTCTTATAAAAGTAGACTATCTTTAAAAATGATTTATCAAAAAATTTTAATGTTATTGTTTCTTTTGAAATATACAGAGTGTTGAACCTAGTACGATTTTCATATAAAATTGGTTTAATCTTCCAAAATACCCAGTATAACCTCATACATGTTGGTATTTTCTTGAAGAGCAAAGTCAGGGGAATTCAAATTTACAATTAAATACAGGGTGGTCCATTTAAAAAAATGTAGGTTTGATCAATTCTGAAGTTATGGATCACTCTGTATAATTGAAAATAATTTTGAAATGTGCAGATTAATATTATCTACAACTTTTGTAAATAACATTAATTGATATTTTCCATAATATAGGATATATCGAACTTTCACACACTATTGTGACACCCTGTATAAAAATAGTAGATAAAAAAAAATGAAACTAGAATTACCGAATAGATAAATGAAATATTTTTTTACCATCGATTTAAAATGAAATGTAATTTTTAATTTAAGGGAAAGACATAAAAAACAAGTGAAAATTTGGAAAATACTCATTATGTAAAAATGAAAATTTCAACTAGAACTATCGAAAAGGGAATAAAATGATTAATCGACAGGATTGCACAATTAAGAACTAACGACATTAAAAATTATTTATTAACGTTTTAACACCCCATAAAATAGTTCAAAAGGCCCCAGAGAGAGTCAAAATTCGAAGAAGAAACGATTTGGAAAAAATGGCCAATTGACATATGGGCACAATAAAAGTGCATAATGATTTAGAATTGTAACATTATCATGAACCCAAAGAGTGTGGAAACATGTGTTTTTTCGAATTTTTTTCGAATTTTGTTTGAATCTTGTTCCAATTTTTTTCCAATTAATTTTTTTTCAATTTTTTCCAATTTTTTTCCAATTTTTTTCCAATTTTAATCCAATTTTGTAATTTACTTTTAGATATTGAAATATCAAAACGGACTTCTATTTTTATATTTTTATTATTATTTATTTCCGAGGGTGCTCAAAACAAGTTACTGGATAGTCAAACATGGTCAATAAATATTCAAACATATGTCTCTTTTAAAATTTTCGAATTTCGGGGGCCAGCTTCACACAGCTGTGAGATTGTCATTTGTTTTTAAATCAACGTGTCTACTCACTTAAGTCGTTAATCCAGTTTTGAGACAGAGTGTGTGAAAAAGCTGAAAAAGAAAAATATATACAAGATAAATACATAATGGTTGACAAACTTTGTGTAATTTTTTTTTGTAATCTTTAGTTTATAATATTTTCTTCCTTATTTTTATTGCTTGTAAAAAATGGGTTTTTAATTTTATTGTAAATTAAATAGAATTAGAAGAAATAAATTTAATAAAAAATAATTAATATTTAATCTTAAAAATCTCAATTTTTCTCGAGTAGACTTTTGACAGTTTGAAGATCATTCCAAAAATAATCCTTGATTTTTAAATAAAATGTTTAATTCAAACGAATATGTTGATGTGCGTCCTCATATTAATCAATTATGATTTATCAAAAGAAGGTCCAAAAATAAAATAAATAATTTAATCAGGAAATGATTAGAAAAGATTATTAACCTTAATGAATTATGAATAATCAGAAGAATGTTCAATGTGCAACAAGAGTGGATATAATGGCCAGGCAAATCTACAAATTTTAAAAATTAATTTAGAGGTTATTAAAAACTATTTATTTTAATTTTATTTAATTAGTCTTCAATCATGGATTTAAACTGCTGACATTTGGCATGACTATGAAACAACAAATTTTTTTAATACTCGTAATTAAGTTGATTTTCAATGATTTTATTAAAATGTACGTTGTATATGTAAATATAGACAAATATATTGTAGAATGCTAATTGTAAATTATATTTAAAATCAATAAATAAAAATATGCTGACAATTAGTTTGACAGAATTGTCACTTATTTAAAATTTAAAAAAATAATAATAACTAGTGACTCCCACTCGACCATGCACTGTTGGGTTCTAATTAACAGTGCTGTTTCTAAAGTGGCGCTGGGAAACTAACAAAGCCTACACAGAACACGAGGCGAAATAACCTTAGCAGTTGAAGCCGATGACACACAAAAAAAAATAACTAGTGACCAAATATAAACTGTGATTGGTGGATTTAATATCCGTAATAGAATGGATATGAAATATATTCGTTCAATAAAACGCAATGGACTACTTTTTCGTTCTTTAGTCTGTGCATAGAATATATAATATCCATGTGGATTAGACTGGGCCAAAAAAATAAAACAATTTTTTTTTCTTAGCGGAACTATGAAGATATTGTTCATGACGACAAAAAAAATTTTCCTGAAAGTTTGAGCCCTTAATAATAATATTAAGAGGTGCATCATTGCAGTTATTGATTTTTCAACAGTTGTCGCGTTTTTGCATAAATTTCGGACTTGGTCAATTTTAAAAAATTTTTTCATCTCTTATCCTTGTAGGAAATTAAATTCCCCACAAAGAAGCTCTCTTAGTAAATTTTCGTAAGACTAGTCTATTCTTTGTAATCTAAATATTTAAGTTCATTTTGGAAATCCCAAATGCAAAGTGAAAAATTGAAAATATATATATCAATGTTTAAGGCTCGATTACAAAGAATAGACTCGTCTTACGAAAATTTACTAAGAGAGCTTTTTTGTGGGGAATTTAATTTCCTACAAGGATAAGAGATGAAAATTTTTTTTAAAATTGCCCAAGTCCGAAATTTATGCAAAAACGCGACAACTGTTGAAAAATCAATAACTGCAATGATGCACCTCTTAATATTATTATTAAGGGCTCAAACTTTCAGGAAAATTTTTTTTTGTCGTCATGAACAATATTTTCATAGTTCTGTTAAGAAAAAAAATTTTGTTTTATTTTTTTGGCCCAGTCTAATGTGGATGTAAAAAACAATTAATATAAATTAAATCATGAAATTATTAGAAAAGAAAAGATGGTATTAATAATGAAAATAAAAAGGAGATGAATACTAGTGGACAAATTAACAGAACTTACCAATTAGACACACAACAAACACAATGAGAACAAAAAACAAATTCAACATTTTGAAAAATCAAGAGTGAAGTTTATATATTTTTGAAGAGCCGAAAAATCTATTACCAAGCAAGTTTAATAAATTATACTAATTTACATTTAAATTATCATCGAAACTATTTTATAAATCTTTACAATTTAATATAATCTAGTCAAAATAGACCAAATCATCAACAAATAGGCGATTATTTCAGCCAAATTATCAACCACGAACAAAATATTTAAATAAAAAATACCCGTAATCAGATATTATATACCATTATTATTTATAATACTACACAAGCTATATTAGCCAAATGATTGGCTATAATAACAATAATTTTAAATAAACATTAATTTTTTGCTACTCGTTTTTCGTACAGGTATATAAAAAAAATGATGCTTTAAAGATCTTATCTCGATGAATTATTTAGCAGATACGAGGAGCGAATGATAATTAATATTTTTTCAATTATAAAAAAAATGTTTTCGGAAAAAAACAGGGTATTAAAATAATATGTATTTTTGGCTAAAATATGTAATTTCTCTAAAAATATGGTAGAGGTCGATTTTTTTGTGAAGAACACATTTCGTCATAGCTATGCCACAGTTCGCGCAGTACGTCATAACTTTGTGGAGCTTTAGTTGATGGCGCTAGGCTGAAATGTGAAATCTTAGCAGTGGCGTGTGTATATTAATAAAATATTTTAAATCGAACATATTAATAAGTTAATATTAAATTTTAACTATTCGTTAAATTGCTGATGAAATTTAAATTAATAAAACAACTAAAAATTTAAATAAATAATATTTATATTTTAATTTAATTTGTATAATTTTAAACATTTTTCATCATCTTCCAAGTCAGAAATATCGGATTCCCACTCATCGGATGACCCTGTATTTACTCTAAATATGAGGGAATCTGTAAATTCATTCATAAGGTGTTCTCTTTAAATATATGCATCCTCATTTTTCGCGGAATGGTCCACCACGTTTGCCCATTCCTCCGGCGTTATGCTTCGGAATTTTTCTCTTGCCAACTTTTCAACATTATCCAACTTGAATGTTGTGTTATGTTGACCCACCCAATTTTTTACTGTGGCCCATATTTTTTTCTATGGGATTTAATTCGGCATGATATGGAGGTAATCGTAGAACTTTGTGCCCATGTTCTTCGAGAAGATCGTCTAAAAGAAAATTCGGTGGAGGTCTGTGAACTTTTATTAATGTGTACAGTTCTGGTTTGGTCATTTTAGCATCATGTGGTATATTGTTTTTAACGAGCCAGTTAATTAAATCTGCTTTTTTGGTCTGCGTTGTAATCGATTTTTCGGATTTTACATTATGATAACTTGCATTATCGACTACAAGTACAGACCTTGGAGGACGATTTGGTAGTAACTATCTTCTAACCCATTGGGAAAAATTATTCCAGTTCATTTCATCACGATAATCTCCTGTCTTTTTCCCTGAAAAAAAGTAAAAAAGAATTTATTATCTACTAGCTGATCCGATCCCGCTTCGCTGGAATTTCTCAAACCTCAATTTAAAAGTTAATAACAGTTTTCGTTACTCGTGAGAAACTTTTTCATGCGATACCTGAAAAAAATTATCAATTTCATTTTTATTAGTTTAATTTTTATTTATTTTTACAATATCCCCCATTCCCCCTCCTTAATTTGTAAAAATCCAAAAACCTTGAAGTACGTCATTATTTACTTACTACAATTCCAGTTTTCAAGTTTCTACTTTTAAAAAACCGAAAGTCTTATTCAAACTTTCACGTCCCGTTTCTGCCCTTACTATGAAAAAATCTAAATACCCTGAAACATATCTATTTATTTATGATGAGTACCTACAATTCCAATTTTCAAGTTCCTACCTTTAAAAATCGATACCCCCATACAAACTTTGACCCCCACACCTTTCCCCTATTTCTCCATTTTTCTTCTTTCCCCATTTCCCCTCTTTTCCCCATTTCCCCTCTTTCTCCAATTTCCCCTCTCAAAATATAAAACCTGAAACACACCATTATTTATTTGTGATGAGTTGCTATATCCTACCTTTAAAAAATCGATACCCCCATACAAACTTTCACCCCCACACCTTTCCCCTATTTCTCAATTTTTCTTCTTTCCCCATTTCCACTCTTTTCCCCACTCCTCTTTCCCCAATTTTCCCTCTTAAAATATGAAACCTGAAACACACCATTATTTATTTGTGATGAGCTGCTATAATACCAATTTTTAAGTTCCTTCCTATAAAAAAATTGATACTTCCATGCAAACCTTCAACCCCCGTTTTCCCAATAATTGAGATAAAAACTATTATGTCTTTTAAGTTGGACCAAATTACAGATAGTTTGATCAAAATCCGTTCAGTAGTTTCGGAGTTTATCGCGAACATACATCGTGACACGAAATTTTTATATACAGGGTGGCCACTTTTTCATTGAAATGTATTGCTATCTCGTAAACCGTTGGTAACACAAAGTTGGTTAAATGGGGAAAAAGTTGCATATTTCGAAGTCCAATCTGAGGGCGTTTTGAAAACTAAAATATCAGGTCCGGTTTCCGAGATATTCGATAAAAAACAAATAAGTACCATTTCTTTATTCCGCTACAGAACGTTTATTTGCAAAAATAGACAAAAACTCATTTGGAGTTTTTTGTTTTATATCAAATTGTGCGTATGATAGCGTATTTAGTTTTTTTATCCGACGTTTCGTAAATGCAGGACCACCATCAACTTCTTTATTTGAATATGGACCAATATTTTCCTGGCTCATAATTTTAATGCATGTTCAATGTTGAATACAATGATGTAATAACATATTGTGATTAGTCAACATTTCGGAAGATTTGAACATCATCAGGTAAGTTTACAAGTACGGACCTGTGTTTTGTTAGGTAAAAATATTTGAATTAGTAAATGATGTATTATCAGTGTAAGAAATCAGGTACGTTTACTTGTACAGACCTGTATTATAAATTATTTGAAATACACAACTACATTTTAAATGCTTAAAATAATTTAATAAAAAAAAATATGTATTTAACTTCTTAATCACGTCAGAAACAAATAAATGAAAACAATGATTAACGATAAGAGAAAAACTACAGTAGTTGCTCAAAATGTCCTCCTTCTTCTTGAATACATAAGTCAATACGGTCTGTCATTTGAGCTATGCTGGCAGAAACCATTTGTGGAGTAATATTATTAAACGCATTAATTATCCTATCTCGTAATTGATTTAAGTCATTTGGAATACCATCATAATATACTTTATTTTTGATATATCTCCATACAAAATAATCCATAGGATTTAAGCAGGGTGACCTAGGGGGCCATCGAATAGGTCCATGTGTACCAAACCACCTCCTGGGAAATCTTTCGTTTAAATAATTTCTGATTAATGCAGCATTATGTGGCCCACAGCCATCTTGCATAAAATAAATATTTCTTCGATCACCTAAAGGAAGATTATCTAACATATCTTCTAGCAATTGTAAATAGTTGTGTTGGTTGAGGTTTCCGTCAATAAAAATAGGACCAATTATTTTATTATTGAGTATTCCACACCATAAGTTTATTGAAAATCTAATTTGGGGTCTTACTTCTTGAATTAAATGTGGGTTGTCGGTGGCATAAAAATGTTTATTTTTTCTATTAAATATTCCACTATTAGTAAATGTCGATTCATCTGTCCATAAAATTCGTCCATGAAAGGATACATCATTATTTAATTTTCGTTTATACCAACGGCAAAATTCTATTCTACGATTATAATCTCCAGGATGTAGCTTTTGTACAGTTTGGAATTTGTAATCATGGTACTTATGTTTTTTAAGAATGTTTTTCACAGTACTTGCAGAAACTCCACATTCTCGGCTTATTGCTCTAGCTCTAGACGACGTTTCAGGGTTGATATAAACTTGAGACAAAACATTTATTTCATTTATTGTATTACGTTTTAAATATTTACCACGTTTTTTTTCAATATTTCCTTCGTGAGCCATATTTAACGCTATCCTATAATAAATTAATAAAGATGGTTGCCTCCTTCCTGGATACAACTGAAGGTATCTTTCTGCAGCTTCTCCACTATTTCTGTTACATTTTATGTACACATCGTACATATCTTTTTTCTCACTTCTACTGTAACGAACCATATTTTCAATACCCTAATTAAAAATATACCAATGCTTTTATCCGATACCAGACTGTCAAATATACAATAATAAAATGTGACATGCCAGGTTAACTTGATTTAAATTTATCTGTATAATAATCAAGACGTGTTGCTAGATATACAATTATTATTGTAAGTAGGTATCTATCTGCAGTTTGTTAACTTTTTCTTTTTTATACTATGAGGAACCATATCACTTTAAAAAATCCAACAAAATATGACAAATCAGGCTAACTTTATGTATTTAAAAATCGGGATGTACTTTATTTATAGATTAATATTGGGATTGGTCAAGTGCAAAAACCATAAAAATGGAAAATATTTTTTAGCAAATGTGTAAACGAACATGTTGTCTTGATGTAAAGTTAAAAGTTTGACTTTGGTATTTATTATTTATAATCTCTTACAACGATAATACATCATTTACTAATTCAAATATTTTTAACTAACAAAACACAGGTCCGTACTTGTAAACTTACCTGATGATGTTCAAATCTTCCGAAATGTTGACTAATCACAATATGTTATTACATCATTGTATTCAACATTGAACATGCATTAAAATTATGAGCCAGGAAAATATTGGTCCATATTCAAATAAAGAAGTTGATGGTGGTCCTGCATTTACGAAACGTCGGATAAAAAAACTAAATACGCTATCATACGCACAATTTGATATAAAACAAAAAACTTCAAATGAGTTTTTGTCTATTTTTGCAAATAAACGTTCTGTAGCGGAATAAAGAAATGGTACTTATTTGTTTTTTATCGAATATCTCGGAAACCGGACCTGATATTTTAGTTTTCAAAACGCCCTCAGATTGGACTTCGAAATATGCAACTTTTTCCCCATTTAACCAACTTTGTGTTACCAACGGTTTACGAGATAGCAATACATTTCAATGAAAAAGTGGCCACCCTGTATATAAAGATAATGCAAGTATATTTTTCATAATTATTTTTGTATGAACTCTTTTAAATGAAATAATTGCTTAGTTAAGCAAAAATTATTAGGAATCTTGAAAATATTTCTTCAAGATAATAATCCTAAGAAAAAGTTATTAATAAAAAATTTCCCTTGTATAACAATAAAGGATTAAGTACAGGTAAATATCTTTTAACTAAACTGAAGATAATAAAATAAACCACTACATTAAGTACTTAAATTACTTGTTAATTAGATACTTTAATAGTTTAAATTAAATTTAAGCTGATCATAACTTTCGATTGTTAAGTATCATGGATTTTTATGAAGTAGGTAAAGACGCAAATAATAAATATTTTTTTATTAAAAATAAATTATTACCTGAAGTAAATATCAACAGTCCATTTTCTACAAAACCATCCTTACTCCCTGCATGCAACATTATGAGCCTTTTCCCCTTGCTCATTGGAGTTTTGAATTTGCTTTTGCCATTGGTCCATCCATTCGAATATGTATGACTACTATGTAAATAGGTCTCATCACAATAATAAATAGTTCTGCCCTCTTGCCGATAACGTATTAAGGATTTTAAATAATTTGTTCTCTTATTCCTAATGTCGAGGATTCCAACAGAACAGATCTGTTGTCTTCATTTTTTTTCCACCTGAAAAAATAAATATTGTAATCTTATACGTACAAAAATTGACTATGAGAAATTAATTATTTTGGTATCATTTTATTTTGATTTTTTTAGATAACATTATTTATACTTACTTAAAACCCATGTTTAATAATATTTGCCTAAGTGATGAGATGCTGCCCCGGAATTCAAAATAATCCTTAATTTTTTGTAATATACGTAAAATAATATTTATATTAAATACTTTCCCATTATAATCGAAATAGTAACTTACAATTTAGAGTTGGTAGTCTTTTCTCAATAATATGAAAATCATGGATTATACCTCTGAGTTTTTCCAACTCTTCAGGCCTTATAGATTCTACAACTGTACTTCTTTTTGTATATCCTCTTTGTGAAAATGAAGTACTAACTCCACTTTCTACTTCACCAGCCATCTTCTTAATTCTAGAATAACTGCTTCTAGAAATCCCTGTAGCAGCTAAAATTATCTGTCTGTATTTGTGTGATGGTATTTGAATACCAGAGCTGGGACGAATCCTCGAAAAATGGATTCGAATCACGAATCCGAATCACGAGATGTGATTCGAATCACGGATCCAATGTTCGAATCCTTTTTCAAAAAAAAAAAAAAAAATCGAATCCTTTTTTTCGGATCACGGATACGAATCAGTGTTATACTGTGGTATTAATTATATTTGCTTTCGAATCTAATACTGTTTTATATCTCTGTATTCTGTAAAATGAGTTTTGACCCGTAAATAAATAAAAACATTTAAAACATGAAGCTGAAAAACGAAGCTGGCTGTCACATTTAGCATATAGGCGATTACCTAAGTGACGCGCTCTACTGACTACATACTCGTATAAGTATAAAAATTGTTTAAACTTTACTTAAGTTTCTTGTAAATATAAAAAACTCTAGTTGATCGCCGTTATTTATAGATTTTTCACAAGAATCACTCATTTTTAATTATGTTGTTAGAAGTTAAAAGAATTAACTTCAAAATTATTGTTTTTAAATTATTTAGGACCCTGTATACTATAACATCCTGTATAGCCCCTTCATAAAACACGTGTTAACATGGTTTTATAACGTTTTATTAAATATCTCGTAAACAATGTTTGAAATGTAATTAATTAAGGAACAAAATAAAGAATGTCTTTAAAGGGCATAAAGCCTATCACATCATCGCGTTCGGCTGGTCGAAAGTCAAGTCCCCGCTCTCTTCTGGTCCTGGACACTGAAACGGGTAGACGTGGTATTGTCGACCCCAGGGGCGGCGATATCCTAATTCGCTGACTCTAACAATATTTTATATTAATAACTAAAACTCATTTCAAATAATAAAAAAAATAGTCAACTTGACATTAAGTAATGAATT